CCCGCGGTCCATAGCGTTCCTTCACAGTGTTTCCAAATGGCCGATTATACTTCTTCATCTGCACACATTCAAATGTCGCTTGGGTCTAGTCGCGGATCAGTTTTGCTGGTATGCTTCTGCACCGTCGGCCTGGAATTTCTGGGGATGCACAGCAGTTTCCCTCCAAAGCGCAAGGGGGAGCCTATTCAGGAACTCGCGAGAACTTCGACGGATGGTCACGAGACGTTCGGCTGCGAAAGCGGGAGTGTTTATCTTCCAAAACAGCAATAGCGCATCTGCAAGATATCATGGTCACTGAGATGGATCTAGAGTAGCTAGAAATCGAAGAGGATATTTTTATTTATATAATTTATCTGAGGCATCGTACAAGTGGTTGTACTTCCGAACCTCCTCGATTTACCTTTCGCCGTAGTTGTCCATTCTTCCTCGGTTTTTAACAATGGCGCGCCCTGGCACCGAATCGAGAAGAACGACCACACAGACAGCTGAAAAGGCATACCAAGGACCAATAACAGCTGCTTTTTGTCTCCGTACCTCCACTTGAGGTCTGCGCAGATTTGTGACCATCCGGAATGTAGTCAGGTTTTTTTTGAGGTGCGCGATGACGGTTGCAGAACCTCTGCATGGGGGGGCAGGGTCACACGCAGAGACAGATTTGACGGGTGCATGTATAGAGTATGCGTCAGAAGCATAAATTGACCAATTTAGTGCTACTTGGTCCTAATGTAATTTCCCATTGGGAACCTACTACCACTAAGTTACTAACTGCTTAGCTAGATGCTTCTCAGAAACGGGCCACAATCTAACTTGCTTCCGAACCTTCCGCCACAACAATCCTGCCCCCTTGATAACCGACCAATCACATTCACTTTATTCACTTGTGTACAGTCATGCACTACTCTGGAGAATTCGGAACTGCAGCTGTTGGAACAGCGGCTTCCCTATGACTTTAATAAAGGCTAAGAACTTTTGGAAACTTTAGAATTGTGTGCATTTAAAAGGGATATATATGATTTTTTTTTATTGTATAACAATGATTTGAGCTTCTAAACTTGCACATATATCTAGTTTTGCCGCAACTTGTAGAAAGCAGAGCATTGTTTTGTGGAACAGAGTCAACATATCCAAGGGACAGTGGTGGTACAGGGGTCCATTTAGTCCCTGCAGGCTCAAATCTTCCTTGACTGAAATATGCCCCCTCCACACATCCAAATCCCCCAGTGTTATTATTTTAAATGAGGGTGATATAAGTTTGTGTTTTTCAGAGCATGAAATGGCCGACGCTTCAGAAACCAGGCTGTATGTTGTCAAACTAAAATATTTTTTCCAGTAAAATGTCGTATTGAATAGCCTCCACGTCCATCAGAGCATGTCTTAGATTTCCTCTTCTTCTCAAAAAGTTTTTTTCTTTTCCGTCCTGTTTTTGCAGTAGTCCGTATGGAGGACCAACTCTGGCGTTGTTAAAATTGAATGCATGAATAACAAATACTTAATAGATAAATAAAGCTTACAGTTAAAGGTACAAAACATACAGTAAATAAATAAATGTCGGTAGTAGTTATATTTTACAATGACAAAAACGTATATCTCTTTTGATTAGCTTGTTAATGTATTCACCTTTTTAATGAATACATTATAATCTGTTGTAATTTTTTTAACTGTATTCATTAATAACTTATTTTTTTATGGAGAAAAGTCCCTCTAAAGTGGATGTTTTTATTTTGAAAGTAGCCCAAAAACCAGAGTAATCATATTTTTTCCCCATGAAATTAACTATTCTCTATTGACAGTCAACAACACACAGTTAAATATGTTGAGTTACTTCAATGTGTACTGCTAGCTGTTCTACTCTAATGTCAAAACCCTTCAACCTTTATTAGCAATAACATGGTAGAAGTTAGCTTTAGCTATGTGCTCCTTTTCAAAAGCAAACATTCAGCAGTTGCTTCCTACAGGCCTGACCTCAGCCGGCAGGCGATAATTCGGGGCTCTGAAGCCGTTCCAAAGACCGCCTCCTCCTCTGCTTTTACATTTTCAGCTGCAGAAAAGCAAGAGGTGTAAAAAGGACCAGCATACATAAAAAAACACTGAAGGAATAAGTAGGGTACAATAAACAAAGGAAGAATGGAGCAGACACAAATATTTAACCATGGATAAAAATAAGTCATTATTACATAAAAATTTAAATTAGAATGGATAATAAAGAATAAATAATGCAATTATTTAAAATATGAATTAAGAGATAAGTTAATCAAAATGGTGCAGTAGGTAGTGCAGTTGGTTTCGGGTTCGATTCCCGAGCCGGGGTCTTTCTGCATGTTCTATGTGTATTCTCTCCCAATATACTGGCTTCCTCCCATAGTCCGAAAAAATGACTGTTAGATTATTTGGCATGTCTAAATGTCCTTAGGTGCAAGTGTGTGTGCATGGTTGTACGTCTCTATGTGTCTCAGTGTTGCTCCGAAACAGACTGGCGACCTGTCCAGTCTGTTGCATAGACTGCTGGAGATAGGCAACAGCCCCACCGCAACCCTGATGGAATACTGAGTGAAGATGGATAGATGCAAGTTAATTCAAATTTAATTTAATTGATTTATATAACGCCAACTCACCACAAATATCTCGAGGCGCTTTAAAGAGACGATTCAAACAGATCATACAGTCAGACAGGGTCAAAGTTTTCTATCTAAGGAAAACAGGCTAATAGCAATGACTCATTGGCTGGACAGCAATCCCTCACACCAAGCATGCAATGACAGTGGAGAGAAAAAACTCCCATTAACAGAAAGTTACCTCCAGCAGAACCAGGCTCAGGGTGGGCGGCCATCTGCTGAGGCAACTGGGGTTCAAGGAGACAGAAGCAGAAGCATTATAGGAGATGTAAAGTTATGTCTCATTGTATAATTTAGTCCTACATTTATTCATTTACTGTATTTATTTTTAATTGCCAGAGTCAGTCCTCTATAGTGTCAGAAGAGTTGTCTATTTATATTAATTAGTTTATTATTTATTTGATTTTAAAGCAAGCAAAAAAAGGCAGTTAGTATGGCTACATCTTATTAAGAGCTCTTATTAACACCAATACTAAATATTGCTATGCAGTTATCTGTCCTCCTGTTTACGAGTGTGGGAGTGGAAGAAAGAGATTTCTTTTGTTTCCTACTATTTTAAATGAACAGCAACATTCATAGACTCAGACCCTTTGGTTCAGACATTTGCTTCGTTCCGCAGACTCTCACTGCATGCATGCCAATGAGTGTTAAATGGAGTTATTAATTATTTATTTGAAGTGTAGTTTTTCCTGGATGGATTAAACAACAAACTTCAATGATTAAAAATGTACAAAAAAATCAGGAATGGATGCATAAGCTATACGTTTATAGCTAATTTCCTTAGGCGTAGGCGTGTGTGTGGGTATATATATATATATATACATGTAAATTGTTTTTGATGTGCCACTAAAGGGGCTAAAATGTCCTAACCTGGACCTTAGTAATCTTGGTTTTTATGCATGACTGGGGGAGTCAGTTTTCTAACCTCCAAGAGTGTTGGTCTAGTGGTTAGAGCAGTGCGCTTGTGCTCTGAGAAGGTTTCAAGTACCCGGATTGATTCCCACAGCCTGCTGCACTCAAGGTCCCTGAGCAAGACGCATAACCCCACACTGCTCCCCGTGCACCACACAATGGCAGCCCACTGCTCCCCAATGTGGATGGGTTAAATGCAGGGGTAAATTTCTCCAGTGTGAGATCAATAAAGTTTAATTATTATTATTATTAATGACTGATAGTTTTCCATGTTGCTGATTTTTTTTTTTAATTCATCAAAATGAACTAGGATTAAAAGCAATTAAAAAGAGATGAAGATTTGCTGAAGTGTGGAAAGTCTTTTGGAGCCATTTCTAAATAACTGCAGATGCTAAATCCATACTTACATCAGACCTAAGTGACACTGAGGAACTACCAAAGCTCAAACCTAGCATGAATGTGAAAGCGTTAGAAAACCAACAAGATTTTTTAATTTCCCAAATGACTTGTTGTGAAACATTTCATGGTCAAACAATATAAAACCTGAAATATGTTTAGGGAAGTAATTATGAGAATCTCTATAAAGCAGTAATTTTTTAAGTGGTTATGCATGTTGGTGGCAGTATCAGGCTGTGGGGCTATTGCATACGGCACTGTTCATTCTGTTTAGAGACAATATTAAGGTTAAATGCTTGTTGTTTATTCTTTATGTGAAGCAAAGTTTCCTTCAATAAACTCTTTAAATAAATAATCAAAAGCCTTAAATGAAAAGCAGATTGATGCCCATAATGGCAATTCCTGACTGTGGTGCTGCTGAACAGAAAGCAGTGAAAATAAAGAAAAATATTCTAATCTTCAGGTCAGATGTTCATATATTTTAATGAGTTTTGGGAGGTTTACAGGCTTGAAAGAATAAGTAATAGAGACAGATCCTTTCAACCAAAAGTATGAGATATTTATGTCATACTACACCTGCATCAAGGCTAGTGAAATTCAGTCAGCTTGGAGATTTTTAAACTGATTGGTGTCCTTCAGGCGGCAGATAGAAAGTGGCTTTAAATTGTGTGATCTGTCCTTATGCTACCTCTTCATACATTGAATGGTGTCCTTGGTTGGTCGTAAAGCTGAAAGCACAGACAGAGAAATTTTAAGGGGCTTGCAGCACCTGGCATTAAAAAGATATTCTGATTCTATATTCAGAGCTTAAGTAAAAAAAAAAAACATTAGCTGAAAAGTCATTATGTTTATGCTCATTTATTTTAACCCCGCTCACTTCCTTCTGCACATTACACCACAGGAGCTCAGGATGTTCATGCATTTTCAGTGCTCTGATTGAGAGTCTGACCTCGATAAAATGACACGGTGCCAGCAACACAAAGAAAGGGAGGAAAAATATGCAGGGTCCAGTGGAAATTTCATTTTCATGCACACCACAAAGCCAAAACTAGTTTCTCTGTTTCTTTGTGCCCCCCACAGGACCCAACTGCTACGCGGACACAGAGGTGATACCAGCCGGCCGAGAAGTGAAGATTGACGACTGCACAATCTGCTACTGTACGTACGAGGAGGGCACATGGCAAATTGAACGACAGGCCACCTGCAGTAAAAATGAGTGCTAACAAAGCTAAAGACTAGCACAGCTGAGGAGGGACGCCCTTTCCATTCCAAATGCACACAACCGGGCTGTCACCCAGTCCGCTGGTCATCAGGGGGATACAGTGGCACGACAACAAGTCTGCGTTCATACGGTGGTCACTCCTCTACAACTGAAAAACTTTTATGGACATTTCTAATCTTCACACAGATTATCTATTTATCTATGTATTCAATTATTTCTGAATATATAAAAATATATAAGGTCATGCTAATCTAGTGAGAAAAATATTTTTTATAGTTTCTGTATTTTAATAAGCAATGTACTGGACCAGAGGTCAAAATCATCAAAAGAATGTACAGAACACACACAGCTGTCTCTGGAGGTGAAAACCTCAATTCCTAAACATCTGGTATAGCCCTGACCTGTCCCAACTCCAGTGCAGAAAAAAAGGGCCAAAAACCAATCCTGACATCATTTCTGACACAGTCTATACACCAACCAGATTCCTGGACTGCAGCATTCCTGAGACATCTGTCCCAACACCTTGCATAACATCAGTCCCGATAAGAGTAGCAACACCAGTTCAGAAACCTTACCCAACTAACCCCATTCCAGGCCTGACTTAAGTCCTCAAAGCAGTTGGGCAAAAGTCCTGACACCAGTCCACTTGACCAAACTTCAGTCCTGGCAATCCCCTTACCTATTCATGCACAAATCCCTGATCTATCCATACCCCAGTCCCAACACTAGTCCTGACCAATCCATACACCAGTCTTGACCAATCCATACATAAGACCCTACACTAGTCCTGACCAATCCTTACACCAGTCTGGACCAATCCATACCCCAGTCCCAACACCAGTCCTGACCAATTCATACACGAGTCCTGACCAATCCATATCCCAGTCCCAACACCAGTCCTGACCAATCCATACCCCAGTCCCAACACCAGTCCTGACCAATCCATACCCCAGTCCCAACACCAGTCCTGACCAATTCATATACCAGTCCCAACACCAGTCCTGACTAATCCATACCCCAGTCCCAACACTAGTCCTGACCAATCCTAACACAAGTCTTGACCAATCCATACCCCAGTCCCAACACCAGTCCTGACCAATCCATACCCTAGTCCCAACACAAGTCCTGACTAATCCATATCCCAGTCCCAACACCAGTCCTGACCAATTCATATACCAGTCCTGACCAATCCATACCCCAGTCCCAACACTAGTCCTGACCAATCCATACCCCAGTCCCAACACTAGTCCTGACCAATCCATACCCCAATCCCAACACTAGTCCTGACCAATCAATACCCCAGTCCCAACACCAGTCCTGACCAATTCATACACCAGTCCTGACCAATCCATACCCCAGTCCCAACACAAGTCCTGAATAATCCATATCCCAGACCCAATAACAGTCCTGAGCAATCCATACAACAGTCTTGACCAGTACATGCACCAGTCCCAACACCAGTCCTGACTAATCCATACCCCAGTCCCAACACCAGTCCTGACTAATCCATACCCCAGTCCTCACCAATCCATACCCCAGTCCCAGCCACAGTCATGAGCAATCCATACAACAGTCTTGAACAATACATGCACCAGTTCCAACACCAGTCCTGTCCAAGCCATACACCAATCCATACACCAGTCCTGACTAATCCATACGACAGTTCCAACACTAATCCTGATGCCAGTCCTTACACTGCGTGCCCACATTCCCAATGACAGTCTTCACACACATTCCGACACTCCAAACACCAGTCAGCTCTACTCTAATTGCCAGTCCCATCACCAGTCCATACCACCAAAGTGCAGATCAGACCATCTTTTAAAAAAAAAACCAAAGATGGACAAATTTTTGCTGTATAAGATTATCAACTTAAATGCAGAGAACTGCAAAAGTATTCACACCCCCTGAACATTTCCATATATAGTCATCTCAGTGTTTTTTTATTGGGATTCAATGCGATAGACCAACACAAAATAAACCATGATAGGGCAAGAAAGAAAAGTCACTTGAGCAGTAAACAGAGACCATCCATGTGGATTTCATTTCAATCTCAGGATATCCCCAGGAGTCCCCTAAACACACCCCATAGCTTTGTTAGAGAATACTGGGGAGAAAACAGCACCATGAGGATGAAGGAACTCAGCAGGTCAGAGATGAAGCTGGGAGAGAAATAGAGATAACCGTAGGAAATCAGTTTGATCCACGGAAAAAAAAAATGGAGTGAAGATAGACACGGTTCTTGAGTGATACAAAAAATGTGAATGACCAATAGGCCGTAGATTCTTAGAAATTAGATTTTAACATTGGTTTCTCATTACATATCCAAAACAAACAATGTGTCTATGTAAAGAATAGGAAACATTTGAACCAATCAGAGGCAATTAGCCAAGAAAGAGACTGCAAAATACTCACCTGTCATCATTTTGACCCAGCAAATGTGTTCAATTCTATTAAGATTTTTGTTTAAAAAATGTGTTTAATTTTCTATCCACTTTACATATTATGTACCACATCATTTTACTCATTGGTCTATCATAAGAATATCCCAGTGAAACACTATGAAGGTTGTGGTTGTAACATGAAACATGTAAAAAAAAAAAAAAATCAAAGGGTGTGAATACTTGGGTGAGAAATTGTTGCAGTAGATAGAAACAGGATGGTTAGTGAAAACGACTCGACTGTTTCTGCATCTCTTTCATCATTTCTGGATGTTCAAATGTGCTCTGATTTGAAAGTGCTTTTTTTGTAATTCTCTTCGTATTGGTGTTCCTGTTTGAAATAAATGCCGATCTGTGCTCTGTAAATGCTCAAATAGCAACTTTTTATAGTCCATGTCGGTGGTGTTTTGTATTGACAGTCTTACAAAGGAATAAAAATGTTTCTGGTTTTATTCGAGTGAAATGAACTGATTGGACCTTTTTTTTTTTTTTTGGCCAGATTTCCCACAGTTCCCCTTTAATGTGATATAACTGAACAAATCCCCCCCTCTGGTGTATACATTTTCAGAAGTTTTGAAGTTCTGGGATTGGTTAGGTTTGTGTGAAAGCTGCAGGTAAATATTTAATGAGCTGTCGAGAGGATGTGAAGCTACCTGCTGCAGCTATATTTCCAGCTGCTCTAAGCATCACAGTATAAACAGGAAGCGCTAGCCAGGAGAATACTGATTGTCCTGAGCCGCCTTTGGATTTCTGAGTTCACTAATAAAGGCCAGACAGAAGGCTGCAACGCTGCTGATTCCAATTTAGTTCAAGAATTTCAACACAGAAAGGAGTTGCTTTACTTTCTTCTCGCCTTCCTATTCAATATCGGGTTGTGGAGTAATGAATGCAGCTTGTCGTGGCCCATCGACCAGCAGATCAAAATGAAAATGAATAATTTAAGTTGGGGTTATGAGCAGCCGTGGGCCGGCTGTGGTAAACGGATGCAGGTGTTGTGTTTCTGTTTCTCTCCTCTTATCCTTTGCATTAGTAGGGCAGCCTCTGTGTGTTGCCCCGTCTGCAATGTGCGGGCCATGCTGTAAAACTCTTTGATCGAGAGGTTGCCAGACAACCGGATGACCGTGCATCTCCAGCAGCGAGACGTGCCCGTCAGACAGACAGCAGGATTGAGGTAAATACGCCTAAGTGCATGTGCACGCTACATGACAGGCTTCTTTCAGAACAGCTGGGGAGCACAGATCTATTAAGATCTTAACTCCTCTGTCTCTTCTTACTGTAAGAGCTTCCATCAAAACAAATCCATTCATCCATGCTGTGCAGGATTTGGGCTTATTTTCTCTCTAATCCTTCTTTTGAATAGAATCGCTGCAATATTTCTATATTCGTTCATTTTTCCGAGATAATGTTTAATTTCCCATGCAGCTCACCTGCTGTGGGGTAATGATCATGAGCAGGGGGGCGGCTGTCTGCCACCACTGTCCCTGCCCTGGTCATTAAGAAGCTTCAGATCAGTCCATTTAACATACAGTAGAAACCAGACATGAATATAAACTTAATAAAAGGGCATTTCTTTGCCACACTTCTTTCTTCCAGTTGTATCACCCACTTCATTTTTATCTGCTATATAAATTTCATGTGATTGTTCAAATATTTTGGTATCATTCCTCAATAATTTGTCCCATTCCTTCAAACAGAACTGGCTTCACATCTGCCAGTAAATCTCCCAAGAGGCTAAGATCAGGGCTGGTCTCTCCAAAACTTTAAATGTATTCCTTAACTGACCTTATAACTAATTTGAAAGTGTAAACTGAATAGCCATTGTTGATGCTTTGAGATGTTCCTTCTTTCCCTTCATTTTCTTTCCTTATTGTGCTATCCTTCCTGCTGCAAAATACCCCCTTCAAACTTTACACATGGGATGGTGTTTTATGACTTGCAAGTTTCCCCTTTTAGGAAAGGAAGTATCCCTTTATAGTCATACAGTGAGGAATGTGCCGTCTCCTTTTACTCCATCCTTTGAAGGGATCCACAACGAGTTGAACATGTTGACCTAAATATTTTAGAATATTCCTATTACTTTACAATTATCATATGTGATAATAAAACCTTTTACTATATATAAAAAAATATCCTTTGTTAGATTTTTTCCCCTATGGAGGTCGCCATTTTTCTCCTGCGCAATGCATGCTGGGTTGATGATGTGTCTTACTAAACAGAAACCTGCAAGAGGGCTTTATAATACCAGTTGTTTTTAACATATTATGTTTGACTGGTGCAAGTTGAGACAATGTCACACTGCATCACTGCCGCAAAGTTTTCCTGAGCTGTTATACATAAGATATTTGTTGAAACAAGCAAATGGGATCAGCTTGTGATGTTTGCTACATTAGCTACAGCCAACACCATTAGCAGAAGCTAACTGAAAGCAACGTTAAATCAGCAGATAATGAAGTGAAGGCTCTTCCAAATTAGTTCACAATACTCGTTTCCATTAAACATCAATTTGTGTAAAATTGTAGTTGTGAAAATTTATTTAGAATAGTATAGAATAGAAAATCCATTTCTCACAATGGGGAAATTCTGGTGTTACAGCAGCAAAAAAGATTATAGCAAAAGTGGTCACACAAATGTGGACTTTAGAAAAGTTTATAAAATTAACATAATAGTGAAGAGTTCATAAGAAAATAAAATAAAATACTGTAATGTAAATAGTTTTTACAGTATAAATACTGTGCACCTGCAAAAATTAGCATTTATGTAAAAACTTATTGAGGTTGTTGGGAACAGTGATGGTTATAAAGTCTTCCAGCTGCTGGGAGGAAGGATCTGTGATAATGCTCCCTGGTGCATTTAGGGTCTAGCAGTCTGTGACTGAAGAAACTTTCCAGTTATGTAACATTTGTTAAATGGAAACACTGCAATTTCGAAAAAAAAGAACACAATTTTACAATATAAATTTTTGCAATTTAAAAAGAAAATCAAAATTTTAAACTATACATTTTTTTATGCTTTGATGTGGTGTTTTTCGGTCGTATCGAAATTCTTATATTTTTCAAAACTGCAATCACTTTACAGGAGTGGGCGATCTGCAGCTGAACCTTACTGCCTTAAAAAGACAAGACCAGAAGTAGTTGGAGGATGATGATGACCACTAGAGCCTTGGCTAAAATATGGATGTTACTTATATGTTTCCAGCACCGTTGCCATCTTGTTTTCAGAGTTATTTGTGTGTACTTTTAATTATTGGAAATAACTTAATTGGGTAAAAGTTCAAAAAAATATCCACTGGACTTGATTTCCAAGATTTGAAGACGTTTCGCCACCTCTCCAGAAAGCTTTCTCAATTCAAATGTCAATTCAACATCAAATGTTGTCAAATTCAACTTCAAATTCAAATGTTAATTGGGAACTTTGCATTTTCAAATCTTGCAGAATATCAACATAGTATTGTGCAAATTTGTAACGGATATGCATTTAATGGTTGGCTAAGGCTAAATGAATAATTGAAAGACATAATGAAATGGAGAAAAAAAAGCTTCATTTTAGTAGTATTCTGAAATTGAGCAAATTTAAAGCCGTGAATATGTCGTTTTAATTATACGTTTTTCAAATCAGAATAAGTGAATGACTCAACCATAGAAAAGCTGTGATTAAGAGAGGAAATGAAGCAAAGTCTTTCACTTTGAAATCAAATTCCCTGAGAACTATGCATCTAAACGGCATCAAAGACAGGCTATTAATTGGACACATCTGTTGGAGAGGCCCATAAGAGATTAGCCTGGTCTCTCCCAGAGCTGAAACCATGTAATTAGGCTACTGCCCCAGCCTGGACAATGCACACTGAGATGAAATGTGTTCATAATACAGAAGGTGATGAAATACATTATTAATTTACAGCAATCAGCCAGGTTCTGTCTTTTAAAATAGAGCATCATTTGAAATAATGTTTAGAGAACCCCTCAGAGTGGT